TGTGCCGAGGTGTGTGCCCGAGTTGTGTGCCACAAAGTGTGTGTCCTGAGGTGTGTGCACGAGGTGTGTGCCCCGAGGTGTGTGCCCTGAGGTGTCCTGAGGTGTGTGCTCCGAGGTGTGTGCCGAGGTATGTGCACGAGGTGTGTGCCCCGAGGTGTGTGCCGAGGTGTGTGCACGAGGTATGTGCCCCGAGGTGTGTGCCCTGAGGTGTGTGCACACCTGAAGTGTGCACGTGTGGGCGCAAAAGTATACAGTTATTGTCCAGACTGTAAGCAAGACCCCATGAGGGGAGGGACGGGAAGGATCCTGGCAGAGAAAGCACACAGACTCTCCCTCTCATTTAGAGGAGCTGGGCCAAGCTAAAGCCTTGGAATGGAAGGCAAGACTGCTTCCAGGGAGGGGCCTTCTCTTCCAGGACTAATCCCAGCCCCTTGCTGACTCAGTCTCACGAGCTGACCTCTGACTCCCCTCCCAGACTCCGCGAAGCTGGAAACAGGCCACCAGCTCACCTCCCAAGCCAAGGCGCTGCCGGGAGGGAGGAGGATGACAATTCTCTCTCTCACTTCTTTCTCAGGGGCAGTGCAGCTGGAGCCTGCCAAGCAGGGGCTGTCTAGGAACCAAGTGAACTGTTCTGCACCTCTGCCACTCCCATACCCAGCTGGACTTAGCCCAGCCCGCCTGGCCCAGCTTCCTCTCTCTCACTGCCCTCTGAATCCAGGCAGTACACATACACTGACCTCCCGCCTCTCAAGGACAGGATGCCCTGGCCCTCACTTACCTGTGAACTGGGGGCTCAAGGCCTGAGGGTTATGGATAATGTCTTTCCAAAGCAGTTCAAATTCTGGTATCCGAGCAACATTCTGAAGTAGTCTTACAAGGTCCCGGCCAATCATCAAACATTCCACGAACTTGATGGGGAGGAGGCGGAAGGCGGGGGACAGGAAAGAGAATAAAAACACGGATTGTTTACCTGCTGGAGGGAGGACAAGGGAACAACATGTTCTAGAGAGGGAAGGAAAGCGGGCTGAAGGGACTATGATTTCTTCTGGAACCCAGGGACTGGCTCCAAGCTGTTCAGGGGAAAAGAGCTGGGAGCAGGGGACTGATAACCAGGAGGAAAGCTCACTGCAAAGTGCTGCAGCCCTGCTGGTCTTCACATTAATCCACTGCCCTCTCCGCCCAGACGAGTTTCAACCCAGGTCAAGGGAGACTGAGACTCCACTAGGACGGGACTCGCAAACTGAGCCCCAGGCACCTGACCTCAAACCTCGCTGCCCACAGAACATCTGCGGTCATGGAAACAATCCGCATCTGTGCCGTCCAGTGTGGCGGCCATTAGCTGCATGTGGCTGATGGGCACTTCAAATGTGGCAATGCAACATTTTAACTTGATTCCATTTTAATTTCAATAGCCACATGTGGTCAGTGGTACTGTATTAGACAGCAGAGCTCCAGGATCTCTCTCTCGGGAGATCTGGAGAGTGGACGATTCCCAACCCCACCCGACGGTGGCAATTACCCGGGTGGGTGGGTAGGGGGATGACATGGCCATGGGTACACAAGGACAGCCTATGTCTTGGTGTCTAACAGTGTCCAGGAGCTGAACAGGAAGCCCCCAGCTGCCAGTATCACAGGCGGCACTTGCAGGGACCAGGACTAGTCCTCACTGACCTTCCCCTTTGACCCTCACCTGTCCAAGGATGACAGAAGGAGGACCAGATCCCAAACCACCCCCATCTCCCCAACATGGCCTCTCTGGCCCAGGCCACTGCACAAAACGTAGAGATGTCCCATCCTGGGTCTCACCTCCCCGTACTGTTCCTGCCCTAGTCCCTCACCCGTTCCCGAAGCAGTGAGATGCAGAAGTCCACCTCCTTCTGCCGCAAGGCCTGGAGCTGGGCGGTCCCGTGGTGGTCCACGATGAGGCGGAGGTACGTGTAGACAGCCATGGCAATGAGGATGCTGCTCTTCAGCACCCATTCCCTGGAGGGAGGGAGGGAAGGCACTGGACCTCGTGCCCCCAGCTCACCCCCCTGGATTTGGCTCCACTGCCTCAGAAACGTCTGCTGATCGGACACTGTGGGGGGTTCTCTGGTTCCTCGACCGCACGCACACACTCTCATTCTCTACCTGGACTGTCAAACAGCTAAGGGGGCCACCTCCTAACAAAGGTGCCCAATCAAGACAAGTGCTAAGTGAAAACCATCTCTTCTTACCGCTAAGTGTTCAGCTTCCAATCAAATAATCTGTCGGCTCATTCGTTCATTTACTGAGGGCCTATCATGAACCCAGCACTGTGTGAGGTACTAGGGAGAGATAAGCCCCTGCTTCTAGCCAGCTCAGACTATGAGGAAAAGGGTTTGTAAGTATCCCTAAGTCAGCAGTTCTCAAAGTGTGGTCCCAGGCCCCTGGGGATTCTCAAAGTGTGGTCCCAGGCCCCTGGGGATTCTCAAAGTGTGGTCCCAGACCCCTGGGGACTCTCAAAGCGTGGTCCGAGACCCCTGGGGACTCTCAAAGCGTGGTCCGAGACCCCTGGGGACTCTCAAAGCGTGGTCCGAGACCCCTGGGGACTCTCAAAGCGTGGTCCCAGACCCCTGCGGACTCTCAAAGCGTGG